CTGGGTGGATGCCGACTAACCCAGCGCGTGCCTCCACGTCTTCTTCCAACCAGGTGTGCGACTGCCCTCTATTGGACAAAATGCTTTTCCATTTTGCCGGACAGATGGCTGAAGGGAAACATTGGCTATAAGGGCCGCCAGTTGGCATTAGGCAAGGCAGGACCTTCTAAGTCTCAGTTTCCACATCTATAAAATGGGAGTCATGGTAACAGTATCTGTCCTTGAAAGGGTTGTTATCAGGAGGAAATGAATGAAGTACCACTGTTTTCTACCTTTGCCTGCCTGCTCACTCTCTGCCCTGACATCATCCAGGTCCCTTTCCTGAGGTGATCTTTCACTCCAGTGTCTCTGAACCAGAGGCACGATGATAAAAACAATATAGTCATGCTATTCTAAGCTCTAATAGCTAGTGGCATCTCACTTCTGGTAGCTTTAATAACTTCACAAATGTTTTAAACGTAATTTTCAAAGCATTTTTTCTTATAAGCATTTATATCATAATTTAAATCAATTTTCTGATAACTTATGTTCATTGTCTAAATCCCCCAGTGGATTATGAGTCCTCCAAATGCAGGGACCTGTGTGTCCTCTGTAAGCCCAGGACCTACCTACCTACCTACTGCACAGCAGATGCCTGATAAGCAATCTGCTGAATAAACACATAGATGAATCATAAGAACTGGAGAAGGCCAGCCAGGAAGGGCAGTCAGATATGGGGAAAAAAGTCCTTTTTCAAGAGTGGTGACATAAACTAATATTAAAAATGAAAAGGCAGGGTGATGACAAGATTTTGGAACTAAAGAGAGGTAGTCGTTGCACAACAGTGTGAAGGCACTAAACGTCACTGGATCATACACTTTAAAATGGTTAATTATACGTTATATGAATTTCACCTCAATAAAAAAAATGATAGGGCAGAATCGTAATATAATAATTACGATCCATGATGATTTAGACATTCTACAAATACTTGATAAGTCAATATAAAGAGAATAACTTTGATACAGTGCCTGATGCTTTACGTAAATGTTTCCACATAAGTGATTTCATCTGTTCCTCACGACAAGCCCATGGACTTGCAGAGGAGGAAACCGAGAAGTGCAGAGGTCCCGGCAGTGACTTCTGTTCCTCTGACAGGCCAGACGCACTCGCCACTGGGAGGCGCTGTCCGCGAGTCCTCCTGCCTGAAAAGGACTTCCTCCAAAAAGGACTTCCTCCAAAAAGGACTTCCTACTTCTCTCTCACCTCCATCTGGGCCCCACTTGGAGAGTCACCCCATCAGAAAGGCCTTCCCCAACCACCTTATCTAAAAGAGCAGCCCAAACACCCCGCTCTTGTCATTCTCTCTCCCTTACTCTGCTTGGCTTTTCTTCAAAATTCTTAGCTCATATTACATATTGACACGATTTTTCTGTCTCCTGCTTACAGTAGCGTAAGCAACAGAACAGGGATATCTGTCAGTTTTGTTCTCTGTTACAATCGTGACTTCTGGAATAGTGCATGGCAAATAATAGGTGCTTGATAAATATTTGTTAAAGAATGAATAAGGAGTAGAATTTTACCATGAACCTGGCTGGCTCTTCTGGGGAGCCTAGGCTTTTTAAGCCACACCACGAAAATGAAACTGTAATGTGCCTGCGATACAATACCAGTTGTTATAGTGGAAGCAGCTGCATTGCATGGAGGGATCAGCTCGGTGCTTTGTGACCACCTAGAGGGGTGGGATAGGGAGGGTGGGAGGGAGACACAAGAGGGAGGGGATATGGGGATATATGTATACATATAGCTGATTCACTTTGTTATACAGCAGAAACCAACACAACATTGTAACACAATTATACTCCAATAAAGATGTTAAAAATAAATAAATAAACAGAGAAAGGTTAAAAAAATAAACCAGTTGTTAGAGCACTATGACAAAGTGCTACGTTGTTCAGGAATGAGCCCCTTCGTGCTCCTCTTGTCTCCAAGGGTGGGGCACCTGTCTGTTGTATCTCTGGCTCAGCACAGTGCCAACCACCTAGTATGGGCACTTGTCCATACGATATCAATAAAACATGGTGGATTCTGGGCAATACAGTCAAGAATGGAAGAACTGACCACAACACGCGTCTGGGACCCACCCTGGGAGTGTACACCGGGGAGTCTCTGAGGAGGAGAGGAAGGAGGAAGGAGAACGTGTTAGGCAGGGGTCAGAGTCCAAGGAGCACCAGGGTACGGCCTCGCAAGCCTTGAGTAATCAGGGTAGAAATGGTTCCTGAGACCAAATTGATCTGCAATGCCAACCTTGTACAATTAATTCAAGCTCTCAGGGAAAACTTGCAGGGCTGGCCTCTTGACAGTTGGGTCAGGGTGGTCTGACAGGATGGGTGACCCTTGTGAGATGGACAATGAACCTCTGAGACCCAGTGGCCATCCCAGAATGGTACCCAGTGGCCTCTGAGAGATTCGTGCCCAGCAGCAGCAGCTGCCTTTCTTCAGCCTCTGAATCAGGCAGCCAGGCATGGTGGAAAACTGTCTGGCTCACACTGATTAGGGGCCAAACTCCTGAAGCTCTGGTGTCAGCTCTGTTCCTTGCACCTGTTTGAACCTGTGTCTCTAAGTGCAGTTTTCAAATTGCAAACAAACTCACACAAGCATAAAAATCTATCATTTGTCCAAACTGACTGCTGCCATGGGCCTTGTTGCATCTTAAATGGAACAAAATATTTAACATGGACAGATACCTGTTTGCCATACTGTGCCTCACATTCTAACTTAATGGTATGGAAACATGTTTTCAACTTTTAGTAAAGTCGTAAAACCTTTTAAAAATGTTCTGAAATTGAATTTCTGCAGAGAATTCCAAGCTATGTAAGTTACAATACACACACACACACACACACACACACACACACACACACATTTTCTCTAGAAGCTTCCTTATAATACGTCCAAAGTACACAGCTCAAAATTCGAGCAAATTATTAATTACAAAACAAATTAAACAAAATAATCACAGCATGATTTGTATAGCTGCCACTACTTTGGCCATTTTCCATGGGATGATTGATATTTCATTTTAATGGGTGCTGGTTTCAGGAACCATGACCATTCACCTTTAGCCTACACTGCCTGTATGTAACCCTCCTCCCTGTGGGCACTCACGCATGGGTGGGTATTTAGTTTTTCTCAATTCCCATAGCATGAAAGACAAAACAAACAAAGCAAAACACGTTACTGTTTTTATCTTATATTCCCTAACATTCAAAAAGAGTATTTGGTCATCAATGGAGGCCTCAGCTTGACACGAGATCAAATGCACAAGCACAGCTTGGCATCAAACTGGACCAGCAAACTCGGGCACCTGCAAAGGTGGGCAGGGACCCCAGGCAGGCAGACAGGCTCTGGCCAACTGCAGAGCACAGGAATGCAGACAGGCAGCAAGGGTTGCCATATGGGCCCAGGGTGGCCAGATCTTCTTACTTTTCAAGAAAAACCAGAAACCCAGGTTTTAATATGAACTCTAGGGTTTTAAACATTAGCAGTTCATTCTAAAAACTGCTTTAAGAATATTCTATCCAAGCACTACACGTCTGTGGTTTGATATGGTGCTTGGGCAGCCTGTTCCTGAATCTGGGGAGTAGTAGGTGGTTCCAGTGGGTTCCAGCCCGAATCTGCCACTCATTAACTGCTCCCTGGTTGGTTGCTTCACGTTCCTCCCTTGGGTTCAAATCCTTAGGTTCAAAGTGACGTACCTGCCTAGTCACTTTGATTGACCAGTCCAGGCTCCAACTTCCTCATCTATAAAATGCAGATAATAACACAACCCCGCGCATATGGCGATTACGGGAGTAAAGGAGATCCTGCAGGCAAAGCACCTAACTGCAGAGTAAGCATTTGGTGATAGATATCAGCCACGATCAGCTGTAAGCTTGGTGCCTCCCTCCTCACTGTCACTCACAATTAATCAGCAAATCCTGTTAAATAGGTCTCCTAAAACCCTCTCCAGTCTATCCTCTTGTTTTCATCCCTACTTTCTGTGCCGTAGTTCATAACCTCATCCCCTCAACCCTGAACTGTTCCTTACATCGATCTAATGGACACACCTCCTGCTTTACTGAGCAGGGAACTCTGTGCCGGGGAGCTACTTAGTGTCCCACTTTGACCCACCCTCATACTGCGCCCAGCTGATTCGATCTCTTGGCTCAGCAAATTACTTAAAGCAAAGATCTGCTGGCGTCATTCTCCCTGTCACCTGCAGAACAAAGGCCAACTTCCTTAGTCCTGCATTCAAGGTTGTCCCCAGGCTCTCCCCCAGCTCACATCCTACCAGTCTCTATAATCCTCTCTCTGCTCCGGCCACACCAAACTACTTTTCTCGTCTTTTCCAGAACCAGCGACACGGCTCCTAGTCATCATACATCAGCAACACTATTCTTTCTGCTTAGAATGTTTGTTTCTCTTCTTCTCACCCAACATCAATCCCTTCTCACCCTTTGAAGTCCAGCCTTAAATGGTCATCTCCACCATGAAGCCTTCTCTGATCAGCCCCCTAACCAGCCCCCAGAGTCAGGCCCTCCCTCCTCTGCGTTTCCCACCACACTTAGTACCTATGTCCCTTCAAGCCCATCACACAATGTGTGGTAACTGGCTTACTGAGACATCTGTCTCAACGTGAGATAGACAGGAGGCCAAGGGCAAGAACCTGGTCCCTTATATTTGCTGCATTCCCAACTAGCACATGGTGAGTTTTCAGTGCTGGCTGAATGAATTAATGGGACCAAGAGGGCATTTGAACAAAAGCCAAACAATGAGGTCACTTTTAATACAACCTGTTGTTAGAAACAGGGATCTTTGGGAATACGCAAAGAAACAATAATAAAAATACATAAACTCACTCAGGAGCTCTCAATTGCCTGTGATGTGTGCATTTTGGTTAAGCTTAGTAAAAAAGGATATTTTATATATATATATATATATATATATATATATATGTAAAGTTGTAACTACCCAGATGATTGAAAATATCTGCACTTACAAAGCGGTGTCACAGTTTCTTGATCTTCACTTTTTCTTTCTGTGGTCTTGGTGGAATGCATCTGATATTCCAGGAGAAAATGTAATCCAGCCAAAGAACAAGTCTGATTATTTGGCTCACAATTTATATACAGCGAGGCGCAATCTGAGAGACAGACCCACACAACCGAAAACTGCTCGTCTTGACCTGGTGCCTGTGCAGGCTTCTTACAAGAAAGACAACAATTTCTCGGTACTCAGATAATCACCAGAGGAGGCCAGCAGTGGATGGTCTTGGGAAGGCAGAGATCTGGGAAAGAAAATAAACATCATTTTTTTTGGCATTTATGTTCGTAAAAACTTGTCTCTGAAGCGCTCATTCAACAAGCATTCACTGGGACTTCCCTGCTGGTCCAGTGGTTAAGACTCCGCACTTCCACTGCAGGGGGCGAGGGTTCCATCCCTAGTCTGGGAACTAAGATCCTGCACGCCTTGCAGCAGCCAAAAACAAAATTTAAAAAACAAAACAAACAAAAACAACAAACATTCACTCAAGGAATGGAAGGGTGGCTCCAGGGCCTCACTCCCCGCCCCCCAAGCAGGATGGCAGACCTCGCTTTGGCAGCCTAGGAGAACAGGTTGTGGGGTTTGGCTAGTAAGAACAGAGGCAGCTCAGCAGAGTGGTTCCCCATGCGGGTCTGGGGTCAGGCTGCCTAGGCTCAGGGCCTGGCCCGGGGAAGTTTCTAGTTGGTAGAGCTGACAGAGTGATAGTTTTATCTCAGAGAGTTTTTGGAAGGAATAGACGATAGAGAACATGTAAAGTGCTCAGCATGGTGCCTATGAGATGATTCTGATTATTATAAGAAGTCAGTAAATGTTAGCAATCCTCATTTGTTAAAAAGATCCTACTAATAGGCTTCAGCCTCTGCAGCTTATCTTTGCAACTCCGCCCACACCCAATATCTCTACTTTATTGTCTTAACTATGAGATCAGAGCTCCTAGAGAATGGAAGAAAGAGCAAGCTATAAACTTCTGAGCGATAACTAAGCAGAAATAATGGAGCCAAGGAGAAGAAAACAGCCCACGTACACTGAACACCTGGTTGTGTACAGTGGCTCAAGCATAAAATAGATCTGGATGCTTGATGGCCATACTTGAAGGGAGATAACGAAGGGGCATGCCTTCGAACTGCTGAAGGAAATTCTTTACCTAGACGAGCCTAGGCAAGTGTGGAATAAGACATTTTCAGGCATTTGAGCCTTCAAAAAGTCTGAGATATTCTAAGGAACAGCATAAATTATTACAGTAGCTTCTCAATAGATGTTAAATAGTATTGAGACAGGTAAAGTCACTGAATGTGAAGGACTGATTCATACCACAAATACATGCTGAGTGCCTGTGATGTGTTGGTTACACAGTGGACTAGAACAAGTAACCCAACAGACATACGTCATTCCTTCATGGAGCTTACATTCTAGTGGGGAGAGATAGATAGTAAACAACCACAGAAGCGAAACTCCGATTCAGATGAATGCTCCAGAGAAAGAAACTGGGCCAAAAGCCCCAATTTTGGGGTATACAAGAACTATAGCTGATAGAACATCCAGCTAAATGACATCATCTAGACTCAATCAGATAAATCCAGAATGTTGGCCATATATAAGAATACAGGTCAGAATTCGTTAAAAAGTCAAAGTTGTTAAAAACAAGTGGGAGATTAATGTAGATTAAAGAGTTAACAATCACATTCAACATGTGAGCCTTGATTGGATCCTGGACCACAGGAAAAATTTTATAAAACATATTTTGGGGACAAGGAAGGACATTTGAATATAGATTGACTATTAGATGATATTAGGGAATTATTCTTAATTTTTTTTTTTTTTTTTTTTTTTGCGGTACATCGGCCTCTCACTGTTGTGGCCTCTCCCACTGCGGAGCACAGGCTCTGGACGCACAGGCTTAGCGGCCATGGCTCACGGGCCTAGCCGCTCCGCAGCATGTGGGATCCTCCCAGACCAGGGCACGAACCTGTGTCCCCTGCATCGGCAGGCGGACTCTCAACCACTGCGCCACCAGGGAAGCCCTATTTTTAATTTTTAATTTATTAAATTAAAAAAAAATTTAATTTGCTTAGGTATTACGGGTATGTAGGAGAATGTCTCTATTCTTAGGAGATATATGCTGAAGTATATAGAGATAAAGCAAATAGGGCAAACTGTTATCAACTGCTGAATCTAGAAGAGAATATTTAATTGTCTATTGCTCTAATCTTTCAACGTTTCTGTATATATTAAAATGTCCAATATAAAAAATTGGATAGGTCTTCCCTGGTGGCGCAGTGGTTAAGAATCTGCCTGCCGATGCAGGGGACACAGGTTCAAGCCCTGGTCTGGGAAGATCCCACATTCCACGGAGCAACTAAGCCCATGCACCAAAACTACTGAGCCTGTGTTCTAGAGCCCGCGAGCCACAACTACTGAGCCCACACGCCACAACAACTGAAGTCCACACGCCTAGAGCCCGTGCTCCGAAACAAGAGAAGCCACCGCAGTGATAAGCCCATGCACCGCAACGAAGGGTTGCCCCGGCTCGCCACAACTGGAGAAAAGCCCGTGAGCAGCAACAAAGACCCAACGCAGCCAAAAAAATATATATGTATATATACATATAGATATATGTAAAACTGGATAAAAAGGAATGGAGGAGAAGTAAGCATAGATAACTTTTTGGAGGAATTTAGCTGTGAAGGGAGTGTATTAATTTCCTAGAGCTGCTGTAACAGATTACCACAAACTCGGTGGCTTAAAAGGACAGAAATTTATTCTCTCACAGTTCTAGAGGCCCAAATCAAGGTATTGGGAGAGGCCACACTCCCTGCAGAGGCTCTAGGGAAGAACCTATTGTGTGCTTTCCAACCTCTCGTGGCTATTAACATTTCTTGACTTGTGGCTGCATCACTCCGGTCTCTGTCTCTGGGGTCACACTGCCTCCTCCTCTTCTGTGTGTGTCTGATCTCCTTCTGTCCCACTCCTTATAAGGACACCTGTGCTGGCATATTGGGCTCACCCAGATTATCCAGAATAAGCTCCTTCTCTCAAGGTCTTTAACTTAATCACATCTTTTACCATATAAAGTAACATTCACTCTTCTGCCACAGGGGTAATATTCACAGGTTTCTGGGATTAGGAAAGGAATATATCTTTTGGGGTCACTTCTGTGCCTAGCACAGGGAGGAAGAAAAATGGGACAGTAACTAGAGGGGAACATGCGGCCAGAAAAGGTTTTGTTTTGTTTTGTTTTAAGATATGAGAAATTATAGCATATTTGCAATAACTGATATGGAACAGTGTGTTGTACACTGCAGTAGCAGTACAATAATACAATTTATTTGTTCATCGTGTTAGCCACTTGCACACAGGAAAATTCATAAAGAAAATAGCAAGGCCATCATCAAAAAGCCTACAAATAATAAATGCTGGAGAGGGTGTGGAGAAAAAGGGACCCTCATACATTGCTGGTGGGAATGCAAATTGGTACAACCACTATAGAGAACAGTATGGAGGTTTCTTAAAAAACTGAAAATAGAGTTACCATATGATTCTGCAATCCCACTCCTGGGCATATATCTGAAGAAAACTATAATTCAAAAACATACATGCACCCCAATGTTCATTGCAACACTATTTACAATAGCCAAGACATGGAACCTAAATGTCCATTGACAAATAAATGGATAAAGAAGATGTGGTATGTGTGTGTATGTATGTGTATATGTGTGTGTGTGTGTGTGTGTGTGTAATGGAATATTACTCAGCCATAAAAAAGAATGAAATAATGCCATTTACAGCAACATGGATGGACCTAGAGATTATCATACTAAGTGAAGTAAGCCAGACAGAGAAAGACAAATTTCATATGATAATGCTTATATGTGGAGTCTTAAGAAAAAGAAGAAGAGGGCTTCCCTGGTGGCGCAGTGGTTGAGAGTCCGCCTGCCGATGCAGGGGACACGGGTTCGTGCCCCGGTCCAGGAAGATCCCACATGCCATGGAGTGGCTGGGCCCATGAGCCACGGCCGCTGAGCCTGCACGTCCAGAGCCTGTGCTCCGCAACGGGAGAGGCCACAAGAGTGAGAGGCCCGCGTACCGCAAGATGAAAATAACAGTTACTCTTTGAGAATTTGATTAAGAGCAATGAAAAGGTAACAGAGGAGAACTTTTGTCAAACATGGCAGATTGAACAAATATATATGTTTATCTCCAAACCCCACCAAGATGAAAATAAAGGAATAGATATGGTATAAAACCACAAAGACAAAAGGAGCAGGAGTGCAGACAACAGTGGATCAGAGAGGTCAACAAAATTTTGGAGATGGAGGGGGAACTAACTTAGCAGAGTGTGGGAAGCTGGGACTTAAAGAGGAGAATACAAACCAAAAGAGTAACAGTTCACTCTACTTGTCCCCCCAAAAGTTCAGGACCTGAGGGACCAGATACTTCAGGTGGAAGGAGAAAGTCATGGAGCTGAAAACAGGGAAATTGATTAGAAGTCTGTATATAAATCAGTTAAACTCACAAATCCCCTCTTCAGGCCTTTTTAGCCTGGCAATGACCCCTTGCGGGGTATCAGAGGGTTTATTCTTTGGAGAAATTGAGTCTTCAAAACATTGACTCAGGGCCACCAGGCACAGCTGAAGGTAGTGGCGAGCACTGAGCTGAAAACAAAAGGATCGGGTGAGAATAGGCGCGCTGAATGTTGGATCCAAAACCCTATCCCCCTTGCCCTGCTGCCAGAACCTCAGCAGTGGTAGCCATGCAAATAATCCCCAGACAGGAGACTGGAGAACCTTCTCTGGAGAAACTGAAGAGTTCCTGCAATGTGATCTACAGATTCTGACATTTGAGGGTACCCACTAAAAAACCCAATTCTCCAGTCACCTTAGAATGAAGCACATCAATTAACAAGCTTCCAATTAGCTCTGCTCAGCGTCCTGTTCTTAAATATTAATAGACAAATATCAAACATTTGAGGAAAACCTCCAACAACACACACACACACACACACACACACACACACACACACACACACACA